GCGAATGTTTAGATGGATGGATGTATGTTTGTTAGAAGGAACGGCTGCCTAGATAGTGTTGAATTTTGACATAGACATAGAACAATCTAAAAGGAAACAGGCTACTAATTAAGTCTTTTTTTAATTCCGTCCGAACGGAATCGCGGGCGACACTTACAGATGTAACATATTATATTTTATCAAGACAAAAGGACACATCGCATATTTATTTTCTTTGAAGCTGAAATACAAAATTTACGACAAAAAAGAAATATAAATATGCAAGGAATGTAAAAACATGTCCGATGTCATAAAATATTGTACATTTTTACGATCGCGCATGAAATTTTCATGAGAACATGTAAGGTACGCGTATTTCCATTTCGTATTTCCACCGTCTTTTCTTTCAATCGACACAGAAAGGTAATAACATTCAAGTGTTTTCCGGAGTTTTATATCTTTAGATCTTTTATCCTACTATCTGCTTACAATACAAGGAATAAAAACAGAATCTTAGTGCAGAACCAAGGATAAAGATTGACGTTCATTTTCTTATACATATCACTAGCTGTCGTCCGCGACTCCGTCCGCGTGGAATGTAGCTAATGTAACTCAATTAGTTTCCGGCAATTATTCTAATTTCTCTCACCTTTTAAGCCTTCCCTAGACCTCCACGAACATTTCAAGACCAAGATAAAATAAATCCGTTTAGTCATTCTCGAGTTTTAGCCAGTCTAACGAACAGCAATTGATTTATATATATATAAACTAGCCAACTTATCTATATATATATATAGATAAGTTGGCAAGAAAGCAAGTAGCCACGGACGTTATAAAATGTGATATTGATAATACTAACCTTGCCTCCCGGATGGCGTCAACCCAATGCACGCAGTCGACCTCGGAAGCAGCTCGCAACTCGTACTGCCGCTGGCTCTCGCGCCGGTACGATATAGTGAAGCAGAACTGACATAAATTAATACACATTACCAATAGATAAGTATCTTAAAGACAATCACACTATTATAGTTCCAAAAGTATAAGCTCTTTTTTATATCAAAAGGTGGCAAACGAGCGAGCGGCCACCTGAAATTGCTAAAGAAGCGAAGTGAAGGTTGTCCATAGACATACGCAATTGCATATTCGTTGTCTACCTTTAATCGACGGAGGAGAGGATGCACAGAAAGAAAATCTTTACCTTTCATGCATCCTCTCATCCGGAAAGGCCACTTCCACTTCCCATTCCTTCCTAATAAGAAAAAGGGTGGGAAGGGAAAGAGGACTAAATTAGGAATTGCTTCCACTTGACGCCTGTCTTCTGTGTAGTCATGGTATTTCACCGAGCAAGCCGGGCCAACTCGTGCGAATATGTTAAAGCGGGCTCTACCACTGTTAAGCTTAAGCTTCGTCTACTTTTACATAAAAACTTGTGCAAAGACCTGACTGAGAACTCATGGTTAAATAGTTTATGTTCACGCTGGTAATTACTGTTTGTTTACAAATTCTATATTAGAATTGGAACAAACCACTTTTATCATCATCACTAGCTCACTATACGACCTCACCGAGGGGCTCGGAGCCTACCCTAAGTTAAGGGTGATTAGGCCATAGTCAACCACGCTGGCCAAGTGCGGGTTGACTTCACACATATCTTTGAATTTCTTCTCAGATATATGCAGCATCAAGATGTTTTCCTTCACCGTAAGAACGTCGGATAAATGTACATATGTAAATCGGAAATCGAAAAACACATTGGTACATGGCGGGATTCGCACCCAGGACCTACATATTACAAGCCAAGTGTTGACACTCCTGAGCCACCGCTGCTAAACTACTTTATTGTGTTCGAATTAACTGGACATTATCTAGTTAATTTACCCTGTCAGTGGTTGTAACATAACACCTGACTGAAACCGCAACCTCACATGATTGGTTACGGTATTAACTTGCGGTTTGTAGATGTACGCTTTGGCTACGTCACGTTAAGCTAATTGCACGCTATATTTGTTTATAATCAGATAGATGATTAAATATTTAAATGTATAGATTTTTTGTGCAATAATTAGCAATAAATTACATTGTAAACTATGTGTTTGAAGATAAGACTAGATTTATTTCAAACAAACAGTTCCAAAATTTTCAGTCACTGGATATAATTTAGTCTACATCTATCTATCCGGCCTGGTCTTACACAGTGCCTTCCAGAGGAAAAGTATTTTAACTACCGTCTACTGTTTCCTGCATACTAGTAGTACTACGTACAGTCGGTGAAACCTGCGATGTTTCATCTTAAAGGCGACAATCGTTTGAATGTTTCGTATGCATTAAGACGACGACGGGCAAACTAATGGAACGCAACTTTAATGTGTGTTTAGGAAAAGGGGCGGTCAGGTCAAAACTAGGTGATTTTTTAAAAGTGGAACACCGTGGATTTCCGCGATTGTACATAAGAAAGACAAATATACAGGAGGACAGAAAAAAAAGTTCCGTACCGAAGCATTCCTCTCCATCGGCGACTTGCTGAGACGCTCGCAATAAGAACCTTCTAGAAGGAGGACGCCGGTAGGACGCGTGTTGTTCTCTGACTCGTAGTAGAACAGCAGGTTCTGGTAGAGGATGAACCAGCGCAGCTGCCATTTGGTGTTGTCCGAGCTGCGTTTGTGAAGGTAACCAGCCTGTGGAGAATTAAACTTAAGTCTTCAAGCAAAATTCAAGCTTCGGCAACCAAGCTTTAGTTTTTTGATAGGATTTCTTATTTCTACTTCACTCTCGAAATATATAGGAACTCAATCTCATATTATAAGATTCAAACTGTATATCTTATGTGATTACGAGCCGATATATAGTTTGTACAGCACTATACCTGAGAATGGTCATATTGCGCTCTATCGGATAGCGCCAACAGTTGGCCGTCGTTAACGCGCACTGATCGCTGGATCTTCGGGCTGAGCATCTTGAATCACGTCTCAACACCTAAAAAAATTCGAGTCGTTTATCACAGATAAAGTAAGGCGACTTGTATTGACACTTAAATAAGAAAAAAGATAGTAATAAGTATTTATTGTTTTAAAAAAATCTTTTTAAACTGTAAATAGATAATCAAATTGTAATTTTTAACTGTTTTTATTTTTGTATTTTAGCAACTTAAATTAATAATCGAATGTGATATTAGTTTAAGTCTTACGTAATTGGTTTATATTTTAAATTTTAATAAAGAAATAAAGAATATCCCGCAACCCAGGTCCCTAAACTTGAATATGTTAGGGGAACGAGAAGGCGGCGTAGCGCCGTCCAAAAAAGATCGACACGAATAGCCATCAAACTTCAAGGCTTGTTCTGCTTTTTCAACTAGCATGATTAGTATATTAGGTAAGTGTACTTACTACATATTGAATTATTAAAGATACAATTATAATGTGATATATACGAAGTATTGTGAATCTTAGCATTAAGTGGGTACTTAAACCACACAAATAAATTTAGTAGTTAACAAAGATCGTATTATTTTGGTAACAATAAATAAAATCTTAATATTGTTACAATTACTGGAAAAGCCAATAATATATTATTATTTTTAAGAAAGGTACGACGGAAAAATAATTACAATTAAATTATAAAAACTAGCTGCCCACGATATACCTATGTGTTCTTGACGACTATATTTAACATCGGTACCAAATTTTAGCGACATTCATGTAGCCGTTCTGGAGATACCTTCAAGCAAACATCCATCCATTCATCCATATAAATTTTCTCATTTATAATATTAGTAAGAGATATCTTTTATCGCTGTAAAATCGGAACAGACTAGTATCAGATTAACTTTATAGAAAGATATTTATAACATAGAAAAGAAAAGCAAGAAAATAAATTTAATATAACCATTCTAAAGGCCTCTAGTAAATAACTACGCTTCAATAAATGTAAAATCCCTACAAAGGAATCCAATACAAAAGCACTATTGAAATATGAAATAAGTGAGGTCTTTGCCCTCTCTTTGCCGCGCCACATTAAATATGTATTGATTGCTTTGATTCAATTATTCTATGACTATTTATAATAGAGCATTGATAATTTACAATATAAAGACATTTATACCTAATTTTTAACGTTATCTTACTAATATTATAAATGCGAATGTTTACACGGATGTTCGAACGTATCTCCAGAACGGCTTAATTTTTCTCGTTGAAATCTGACATAGTGGAACATAGCCTGAAAGAACACATTATTTTTCAAATTCGCGCGGACGTAGTCGTGGGCGACAGCTAGTACAGATTAAAAATAAATTGATACATTGCAACGTTTTATTTAAATTGAACACACGTTACTTAATTAGATCTGACCATAGATATTTAATCCTGAGCATAAATGTGAAGCGAAAGAAATCTCGCAACGTTGAATAATTCAAGTAATTATCAAGTTCTTTATCTGTGACCTGGCCACTCTTAAAGGCAAAGAACTGCCACCGTTTTGGTTTTTCGTTCCATATAACGTGTTTGTATTTTTTTAATATTACGTAAAAACTTTTATTAAGAAGAAGAAATAATAAATTTTGTTCATAAAAGATCGCAAACTTTTTTAAAATGTATGTTAGTAGCCAGTTACAGTATGTCTTATTTATAAGTTATACGGCTAAATATTTTCTTCAATTTGACATGCAAACTTTTTTTTTATTTAAAAATGGTTAATTATTTTTCTGTCTTTAAAATACAGTCTTTTTATAGAAATAAAAACAAAACGTTCAGAAATTGATTATTTATCTTATTTCCATGGAATAATTTTCAAGGAAAAACACCGTAACAATGTTTTGGTTTTTTTTTATTCAAACGTTGACGTTGTTTTGTTTTCTAAATGGATGCGGCCAGTTCATTATTTATACGTCAAATCGATCGCCATTCCAGATGAAAAGAAAATGCGTTATGCAAAATTTTTGAAAAAAATTACGTACGTTTCATTAAATAATTAATATTTAAGCAATTATTAATATAATATTTATTATTGTGCATGTTACATACCGTTTATTGTTGATATTATCACCAGCAATACATTTTCCGAAATCTTCGTTTTATTTCGAGATTAGAATAAAACTTTATATTATTCTATGAAGGCTTATTTGAAATGTATTAGAAGTAATATTAGGAAACAGACAACACTTAAGAATTTTCAACAATAGTATAGAAAAAGGACAACAGCTTAAAATTCAATCTAAAAGAATATTTACCACTCGTTAATTACTTAGAACAATTTGCGCGCCTGTTGATTTTATAAATGCAACTGGTTATAGAAATACTTTTTAATAATTTTTTTAGCAGGCGATGGATTAAAGTAGATATTTATTGGATTAATTTTAATAGAAATTTATTAGTCAGTCATGATTTTGTTCGGTGGTATTTATTTAGGGTTTGATAAAGATGGTGAACCACGTCCTACACGAAGACGCCAGTTCGACTGGCGAGTGCCGGGCGAGCACGGAGCACCTGTTAGCTGGATCGACCGCGCGCGTGCGTGCCCTCGTGACGTACAACACAATCCATAGAGTTAAGTATGATTAGAATCGAATAAGAAAACTAACTCATCAATCTCCATCAAACCAATAAATTTTTATTGTGCATTTCGCAATATTAGTACGTTATAAATTAGTTACTATTAAAGTAAAGAGTTAGACATAACTTTATCACTCTCTCACTTAAAGAACATATGTTAGTTCAAGACTTTTAAATCTAACTGGGGAAGACGGAGCTTATCAAAGATTGCATGTGTATTCATTTATTTACAATTTAATCTAGTTAATAAAATTAAATGGAATGTCTTACGACATCGTAACTCTACAAATAATCAACAGACAACGCAGGCGAGGTATTAAAACTCTTGCGGCCTATCTCCGTCGCACAAGTGCTTTTGTGACTGCCTCGGCCGCCTGTTGCCACGGCCGCACCAATGGTTAAAAGATCAAACAAATCCCGGTCTGACGCATTTAGCTAGGCGCTCAACACAAGCCTCCCGGGCTTTACAAGGGCGATGGAAAAATTTGAATTATTTCGTTGTACATCTTTCTTTGATATTGTTTTGAAACGAAATTAAATTTACAGGCGATAGAGATAACATTCTTGAAAATTATATAGTGTAATTTTAAATCAGAGCCAAAATAAGCGAAGCAACTGTTAGGACCTCCGCCCGTTAAGTAAGGGATCAAATATCGATAAATTAGCAAATTACACGAATACCCAAAAAATATGTATTTATTTAAATACACATATCACATACATTATTTCCAAAAACTTCAATCACGTAATAAAATGAGAAATTAAGTTTCTTTAAAATAGCAAAGCATATGTGTACAAATATAAGTTTCGGAAGAAATGTCTAGTATATTAAATAGTCGTGGATGCCTAGATTATTACCTAAAACACTATTTTATCATTGTTTCGTCTTTATTTGAAAACAAAAAAATAATGATAAGAAACAAATGAGGTGTCACTTGATCTGCAATGGTTCTTTAAACATCGATTTCTGAACGATTCTGTCAAATCAAGTGGCATTTAAACGTCAAAAAATTATGTTTTTGTTCAATGAATAAATTCAATCTGAATTACAAAAGACCGAAGGACTCCGGTATAATAAATTAGTTTTTATTAATTCATTACTCCAATAATTCTTATGATAATATAGAAAAAGTGCAGTGAAGAAAATAATCAACCGACATTTTTTTTTGTGTAATGCGTAAAATTTAAAAGTTGAAGAATGGCGTCAGGATCAAAAAATGATATTGTGAATCGTTTATTAAATGTAAGACTCGAAGGAGGTGGTGATGAACATCCTCCGCAAAATATGCTGCCGTCGAATCAATTGGCGCGGCGTTTAGAAAATGTTGCGGACGAAGACAATGGCCGAATTCCCGAGGCTGTACCGTCATCATCGTCGGCGATAGAAAATTTGCAACCGAGCAACAATACAGGTCGCTTGCATAACTGGCAGGCGACAAAAACTACTGTTAAAGAGAGGTTGTCCTTTCTTTTTAATAATGAAATTCTTTCGGACGTCCATTTCATAGTTGGCAGAGATGCGAATCAGCAAGTGATACCCGCGCATAAATTTGTCCTGTCAGTCGGTAGCGCGGTTTTCGACGCTATGTTTAACGGTGTGTTGGCTACAAAGTCGGAGGAGGTTGAATTGCCTGACGTAGAACCTGCAGCTTTCTTGCATTTGTTGAAATTTTTATATTCAGATGAAGTGCGAATTGGGCCTGAAAGTGTGATGACCACTTTGTATACTGCTAAGAAATATGCCGTGGCTGCATTAGAGGAGCATTGTGTTGACTTTTTAAAGAGTAACTTGGGTACTGATAATGCATTCTTGCTGCTAACCCAGGCAAGGTTATTTGACGAGCCCCAGCTTGCAGCGTTGTGTTTGGAGATGATAGATAAAAACACAGTAGATGCTTTGAATGCGGAAGGATTTACAGATATTGATCAAGATACTTTGAATGCTGTATTAGAAAGGTATGTTTTAAATTCATATAGTTATTTTATTTTTTATAAAAATAGACACTATTGTGTAATAATTGAACCAGTATGTTTTATGTAAATGTGACCTCAAAGTTGCTTGCTACTTAGATACATTTAAATTTCAAATAGGTAGATGAATATCAAACGTGTCTTGTTACTTGCACAAACAAAAAAAAACATGAAACTCAGATAACAATAATAATTTTTAAAAAATAAAAATACTGCATTCATAGATTTTCATAGTAATTTTTAAATAAAATAAGACAGTACCGTTGAATTGATTCTTAATATTTCCAGAGACACTCTTCGTA